TGCTTAAATAGGCTGTGTTGCCGCAGCATTGTAATATGATACAGCAACCTTTCAAGATCTCCTCCACGTTCTCGCATCGCGTGGCCGAAATGGTCCACGTGTCACCTTCAGTGGGCTCCAGGGTGTGGTTGAGGTACTGGAGCAGGATGGAGATTCCTGTGGCGATCACGGTCAAATCAGATTGCATTTTGAAGAGAAAAACGAAATGGTCCAAGTGACCAGGGTCCCAAGTGGACAAAACGGTTCGGGATCGTACAGAGCCAAATGCTCAAAGGCCAAATGCCGCAGTCCATGGACTGAAATGGTGTGGGGGGGCGGGTAAAAGTTCTTGATATTGGGGAATGTACCCCTTTGTATTCCCCATCCACACCTTGAATTCAAAATAGCAACCAGATATAAATAGATCCCAAGACCGTTACTTCACCAAAGACATGTCAGTTGATTTCATCAACGTTTCATCCAACTGATGTTGTTCATTGTGTTCACTTAACCAAAGACATGTCATTTGACCACAGTACTGTTTTACCCATTTGGTATTCTTTGTCAGATTTTATTTGGTTTGGGTTTGGTAAACAGTTTTTTTTTTCGTTTGGCGCTCCATACATTACGCTACTCTACCCCAAAAGGAAATGGTGCTACGCACAATAAATCTTTTGGGGCGAGCCAAACTCAAACCCCATTGGGTTTACCCACCAAATCCCAAACATAAAAGGTCCATTGACACCAGGCCATAACACAGTATGGCTTATGGGGGGATATACAGTTTGGGTTATACAAATAATTATATATACCAAGTGTATATATAACATGTATTAAAACGGCAAACGACCAAAAACCCAAAACTTAAAACATCACGACGAAAATCACAGCTCGCTACAAACATGAGTCACATCGACATCACTGTCTGAATGAGATCGCATCTTTTTCACGTGGGGTGCAAAACAAATCATATGTCAAGCATGGTCACATGCCAACTGCATCGCAGACCCATGAGCGATCTGCAAATCCAAATGATTCGTCAGAATCCAGAAGACCTTGATGGTCACATTGTCACACAAAATTTGATGTCTCATCTCCCCCACTTAGAAACACATCAATTTTTGTGGTATGGGTATTTCACACTACATTCATTCCTTTCAAACCCTTGAGATGTCAAACACGCTGAACACCAAGTCTTTTCCTTTCGCTTCAAATGTCTCTGAGGGCACATCCAAGAACCGGGCAACTGCATCCATCACGGATAGCGGCCAAGGCTTCCATAAGCGAGCTATCACCCCTAGAGGGTCCATCGCTCGGGTTCGAATGGCTTGGCACACGAGAAACCCACAACCAGGACCTGAAGTCTTTTTCGGCAATTTCTAGCTGCAGCAAGAGGGCACGGAAGTGGGCATTGAAGGACGACCCTTTCACAAGAGCTTCCTTTGCTGACTCGTTGTCTACAAACGCTATGGCCTTCCTACCTCCAAGAAACTTGCTCCAGACAAAACGCGCAACAACTACTGCATACAGCTCAACCATTGCTATGACATGTTTCGAGTTGGCCAACCACGTGTCCACGAGGCATTGAGGCACATGGCAGGAGAAGTACCTAAACTGTCCATCCACGAACAAAAGGCCACCTATGGTGTTCAAATTTCCCTCGCTGGCGCCGTCGGTGAAAACTAGGACTGGCCTCTGCTCATGCGAACACGGCAGCTCCCTGGGTCTGCCACTTTCTATCCTATTCATCATCAGCCGGAGGGACCCTTTGGCCTCGTTGGACAAGTGAACGAGTCTGGAGTCATTCCTAATGTTGCTCCTGAGTTCAGTCATTGCCAACTTACCGTCTCTACCCATCACAAAGGAGTCAATGTATTGAAGCCTACCCAGAAGCCTGCTACACTCTCTTGACGACATGGTCCCACTTTCAAGCGCTTTGGTGATAGACGCCCTAACTTCGTCTATCCTACCTGCTTTGTTACCAACCAGCACTTTGTCTTCGCCGACTTTCCCGAAGTCCACTGTGACTCCCAAGACATTGGCTTTGGGTGCAAACGGCTGCAGTTTATGTTTGGCATATTCGAACCCCAAGAGGTCAAGCATGGCTGTCATGGTACCCATGGTGGAGGCGGCAAGCACACTTGGCGTAACAACTGGAAAGTCGTCAAAGTAACTACTCCAAGGCAAATACAGTTGGTAACCTATGTGCTGCAGCAACCTTGAGCATCTGTTGAAGTGGACAACAGAAGCCGTGGCTCCAAAAGGCAGGACGCGACCTTCGAAGCACTGCAATGACTTGTCAACAGGGCTCCTAAGGGCAATGACGGAATACTTTCTGCACTCCGGATGCAGCGCAAATTGTTTGTAGGCATTGGACAGGTCAAGGACACTGATCAGAGGTTGGCCGTGCGATCCATCGAGGTAGGCACTATGCACAGGCGCATCAAGAGTCGTGCCATCTTTCAAGTGAAAGGTCACACGCTTGTGCTTCAAAGATCTTGTGACCGCAGCGCCGATCCAAACGATCTGGTCAAGCGTCCTCAAATCAAGCTTATCGGCGTAACCGAAGGCCCCATTCACCTTATTTTCCGCGTAATCGTCAATAGGCCTAAGCTTCATCTTCTCGCCTGAACTCTGCCATATTCCGAATCTGCGTACCGGCAACCAATGTTGCCCAAGTTCCTTGAATGTGGAATCCTCACTAAGGGGGCCACGTAACCAGTGTAGGTTAGAGGCTTCTTCAAGCGTGATGTTCCAGAGTTTCAGTGCATCTTCGTCGACATCACTGGATTTCACCTTTCCCAAGATCGCAGGCCTCAGGAACTTGATGGCATCATGCAGGGACTCTGTTGAAAAGGATGGAGGCCGAGGTTCTAGCTCGAAAACCCCTGACGGCTCTTGCAAACCTACAATCCTGAAACCTTCTGTAACCTCGGTGAAAAGGTTGAGGTCAGGCCATTCCATTTTCTCAGCGATCGCCTTCCATAACAGAATTCTTTTTGGTCTCAAGATGGCCTCCACTCCAGGCTCCATGTTTCTCTTCAAATTCAACTCATCCGCTTCTAGGCTCCTTGCTACACCTACCCAGTGTTTCAACCTGGTTGCTCTTCTGGTTGCTATCTCAACGGGTCCAAGAGAAAGTATTTCGAAAATTACCCTCAGCAACTCATCCGGCACTGCATGGTATAGATCAAAGGGATGTTTCAGTTGGATGGCATCGTCAATCCATTGCTTAGGCCCCCTAAATATACCAAACTTATACCTAACCCTTTTACTGCTGTCTTTCTTATTTTCCCCACTTAGAATCTCTAAAGACAGCATTTTGGCATGAGCTGGCAAGTGGTGCCACGGCTTGGTCAGGCATGACTTAGAATCCACAGGTGGTGGATCGCTTGTTATGATGGTCTGGAAGGCCACGAACTCAGAAATGAGTGGCGGCATTCTTTTGCCACGGGGCTGCACGTTTAGGGCTGTAGATCCAGCGGCATTGGCGGTAACCAAACCTGGCACCGCGTGTGTATGTTCTGGAAAAATGTTAAGAGCCTCTTGAACGATACGTCGTATCTGAACACATAGGGCACGCGGATATGCTGCTTCTTCCGCGGTTGCATAAATGAGCTTGCCATGCTCATCTCGTTTGCGACCATAAGGTTCATGTTCATGGTTCCCAGGACATTCAGCCTCTATGCGTGACATTTCTGCAAGTGTGCTCAAAAACGCTTTCTTGGTCGGTCGACTCGACCCCCATGCGCAAGCAGTGAAGTGAAAGAATTTTGCCACGCTAACTAATTGTAACATCCATTCAGTTTCCCACAAATAACTTCTTGCGGGGTTCTCGATGACCCACGGAATGTTACGTTGACTGCAAAACAGAAGGAATTCGGAGAGTTGGCTTTATCTTACCCCAGACTTGTGGACTCTTTGCAAACCATCTCGCATAAACCAAACGTGACTACTCAAACCAAAAACCACCAACAGAGCGCCCACGCAATACGCGTAAACTGAACCAACGCTTTACCGTCATGTTTACTGCAGCGCCAAGATTAAAAAGACTGACGTCACTGCACATCTGCAAATAAACGACAAACGCAAATCACTGCAAACGAAATAAGAAAAGCACATCACTGCAAATAAATGATTCACCGGATTCCGATTCACGCTCATGATCTTTTCATCCATGCTTTTGGATAGTCGGGGTGTGTCCAGGTGCCATCGTCACGACGGCTAGGGTTAGGCACGTATGGCACATGGAGCCATGGTGCCAAAATTTTGACTGGGTAGTGAGTGCGAGGGTGGGAATCAAGGGTGGGAGCACAAACGCCCCCGGACACACTTGACCCCAAAATGGCATTACGACTATAAAATTCAAGTGTGTTACCCAGTCAAATTGTTTGTATACTTGTAAGTTGTTTCCAGATTAAATTTGACCACTTGCAAAACATCCAGCAAGAATGGTAAACAACTCGCACAAGACACAAACAAAATAAAAACGTTTTGGTTTGATTTGCAAACAAACAGGGCAACAAGAACCCACGCGTTGCATGTCCAAACATAATCAAAGTCCTTGATCTCCTTAATACAACGCAAGGGACGCGTGGCGCGAACAGAGGAGAGGCGAGTAGTTCACAAGGAGCGAGACAACAGAGAGGCAAGCAAAGAGTGAAGTGTAGCAGCTACATCTAGCAGCTACACATACAACAGTCTGTTTCCAGATAATGCATTATCTGCTAAAGCAGAACATTGCTTATCTTACCCCAGACTTGTGGACTCTTTGCAAACCATCTCGCATAAACCAAACGTGACTACTCAAACCAAAAACCACCAACAGAGCGCCCACGCAATACGCGTAAACTGAACCAACGCTTTACCGTCATGTTTACTGCAGCGCCAAGATTAAAAAGACTGACATCACTGCACATCTGCAAATAAACGACAAACGCAAATCACTGCAAACGAAATAAGAAAAGCACATCACTGCAAATAAATGATTCACCGGATTCCGATTCACGCTCATGATCTTTTCATCCATGCTTTTGGATAGTCGGGGTGTGTCCAGGTGCCATCGTCACCCCCAGGTAATCATTCTCACCTGGCCGACTTCGCAAAGTGCATTCACGCAACGTCTCAAGGTCTATGTCCGTTTGGCTGGCGCCTAGTCTGTAACACATTGAGAAATCCAAACGGCTCGGGCCGTCAGCAAGATTACTGGCAGTGGGTACCCTGCAAAAATAGGGCACAACACCAATGGCTGCTTCCTTGAGGGTGCCTTTATGGATCATCCACTGAGCGTGCGGGGACTCTGCATGGCCTTGTATCCAGCTATGCCGCGCAGCATCATTGTCTATAAAGACGAGCAGGTGCTTGTCCTGCAGTAACTTCGCCCACACATGTATTGCAAGGAAATAAGGAAGCACTTCAGCTTCGAACACCAAGTTTTTCCTGCCGCTTGCTGCCCATACCTTTGTGATCTCACTGGGCACCACCAAACCAAAAAAGTGAACACCTTCGCCATGCTCATTCAACAGCACACCTCCAATCGAGGTCCTCAAGCTATCAGGAGCACCGGCAACCGGTTCACAGGCACCATCAATGAACAAATACCATGTAGCCGTGTCCACCGCTTTGATCTCCCTGGGCGGCGAGTGAACCAGCCGTTGCTTCATCCAAGCCAAACCAAAAAGAATGTCCTCGGATAACGGTGAGCATGTCTTCCCTTCAGCCACGGGTGAGCTCAAAGCCTTCAAGGCCAGTCGGGCTGACCGGCCAAACACCTGTGACTCTGCAAACATCAGACGCGACCTCAAGCTTTCTGCTTGGTCTGGTGCCAGAGAATTTTCTGCTAGGTGGCGGTTTACCAAGGCCTCAAGCTCCGCCTTCCGCTTATCCGTGTTGCCGATACGCAGGATGCCACATTGCACTTGTTCCATATCAAAGCATACCCCTAAGGCAGTGAACGTTTTTCGGAACCCAACATCCTTCTCCGGGTCCTCAGATAAAACCCAGCCACAAGCCTTGAACAGGAATCGGACAGCCATGTCTGTGCTCTCCGCATCTTCCGGTCTGCAAATGCAAATGAAATCATCGAAAAAGGACGACCAGATAAGCAAGGGGCCTGACAGGCCCAACTCTTTTAAGGCCTTTGACATCCTCAAAAAGGATGCTACCGAGGCCGTGCCGCCAAACGGCAGCCCTTTCATTCGGAACAGCCGAGTGCTTGCATGCACAGGCGACCAAACTGCTATCCAGGCAAACTTGTAATGAGCCTCGTTAACACCAAGCTGTCTGTAAGCCTTCCTCAAGTCATACGTTCTGCCTACCAATTGGCAATCCTTGCCATGGAGTTGCATGCAACGCTTTACCATCGATGCCACCTCATCTATGGTGTCCACCTGCAACCTCTCGGGTAGACCAACTGTGCTGTTCAAGCCTGAAGCGCTCAGATTGTCGATGGGTCTCACCTTAGACCCCTGGCGCAAACCAAAGCGGGGAGACACCACGTGACCTTCAGGGAGGTCTGAAGCATTGTAAGGGCCTTCCAAGGTGCCCCCTGTAACTTCAGCCATGGTTGCTTCCCAAACCTGCATATCCAGGTCACTGTCCTGCGAAGGCTTGATGCTGGCAAGAGTCCTGGCCGAAAAGGATGCTGCCATGGTCTCAAACGAGTCTACATGTAGGGCAGGAGGCCGCAAGTTTGAAGCAAAGACACCTGACTGTTTCATCCAACCCACAAGCGGGAAGCCACTGTTGGCTTCCAAGGCTACACCAGCATCTGGATATGCAATGGACTCCAGGGCCGCATGCATCAAACCAAATTTCTTGCCAGCCAGGACCGATTTCAGGTGAAGAGGCCTGTTCTCCACCATGGCCTCCTCCTGGGTCTTCGTTTTCGCCATCAAGTCAACCATAGACTTGGTCCAAAGAATGCGCCTGCGCCTAAGTTCCACTGCCTTGTTCGGTCCACTGAACTCGATGGCACGCTCCAGGTTCTCATGAAGTATCACTCGCTGCAGGTCAGGGTGAACCAGCTTGGTGACCATTGCCAAGTAGTCCAAAGGGGGCACTGGCATGCCCACCTTTGCCGGCAAACGAGTCTTGCCTTCATGAGTTGGCGCATGGACTTCCTCCACATCGCTGGGCCCACTGTTTTGTAACCCCCCATAGTCATTCCAAACATGTAACAGGCGTGAACCTTTGGGGAAATCTGTGTTGTCAGTGAGCCTGGCCCCAGGTTTTGCCTGGGCCAAGCATGGAAAACGTTGGATTTCCACGATCTCCTCCCGCAAAAAGTCAGTCAGGAGTGGCGGCATCTTGCTGCCACGTGGTAGTGCACCCAGAATGGCTCGATTAACCTTGTCTTTGAGATGCAGGTGGTCGGGTCCAACGTTGTCCAAAGTAGCTGGTGCAGGTTGTAAACCTCGTCTGATGGCATATTGTTCAATTGCTGCAGCCCAATGCGCACACAACGTGCTGTTGTAGGCACACTCATCTGCTGTTGCAAAGGTACCTGAAGGTGTCAATCCCCATGCAGCATGTGGGTGGTCACCTGTGCAGCTTCGGCTAAGTTGGCATAGCTCCATGATGTTGGTCCACAAAGCTGTTTCTTTCTTCCGTGCAGCACCAAACATGCATGTATGAAAAACCACACCGTAAATCACCTCGCCAAATGTCTGCATGAACTCAACGAACTGGTCTGTGAGCCACATGAGGCTGCTGGACGGGTTTTCAACTGACCAGCCAATGCCTTGCTTCTGGAGTTCCACAAGGAATCGCTTGGTGAGAGCATACAAGCGGTTGGCCAAACGCACTCTTTCTTTTTGCAACCCTTTGAGATGAGGAAGGCCCATGGGATACTGCATGCTTCTTAAGGGTTTTGGCTCGTTTTTGAGGCCCAGGCGAATGGCTCGAGCTTTGGACGCCGTGCCACAGGGTGGTGCAAAATGCACGTACAGTAGGCGTCGCTGCTGTACCAACTCCTCAAAAATTTTTAATTGTGCATCTGAGTTCAGGTCAATCACCAAAACTGGGATCCCCTTGACCGCCTTGTGATCAACTGAGAAAACTTGAAAACCTTTTCGACGCAACGCCTTTGAAAGGCCAGCTTTGCCGCAGAAAACTTCAACAATGAAAAAGTCAGCAAACGAAAACTTTGTGTCAGCTGGTGCGGCTTGTGGCCCTTCCGCATTTCAGTTTGTGCACTGCGTCAAACTGTGTTTGCCGTGGCATTTGATACACTGGTGAGTACCACGATTGCATTTATCAACATTGCCATCCTTTGTCACTGCATTGGAACACCCATGCGCCATGTTAAAATTGAAACAGATACGCTGCTTTTGTTTGTTCCAACCACTGTATCCATGCAAACCCGATGGTAGGTTTGTACGACCTTGTCTGTTTCGCTTTCCCCTCCGGTTCTTGTTTTTGGTGTCAGGATGAGCCTCTGGCGCCTGAATCTTTGTAGGGGCCTCATCTGGAGTCTTTCGTTTTGTTGGGGCATTCGACGACCCAGAGCCTGGCAAGGGAAGCAAATGAAAAACCACAGCTGCAGAGGTGCAAAGTTCTGTCAAAGCCGCATCAACTGGCAAGCTTCCAGTCCTGTCTGGTCTAAGGTCTGACCTGACTCTGTCTGCAACTCTGGTCCACAACTCTTTATCTGCTCGAAGCACTGATTCAATTGTAGGCCCTCTGAAACCTGGTGGAGGTTGCCTGGTGAGGTGGCTCATGAACTCCCTCATGACTTTTTCATGCACTTCATAGGTGGCCAAGTTAGCCATATCCAGAGCCAAACCACGTCGAATGAAAGCCATGTGAACTCTGAGCTCATTGCCCAAGTCAGCTGTCAACTCGGTGCTGCGGGCTTTCACCTGCAACTGCTGGTTCTCCAGCATGATGACCTGTTTGTCAGCCTTGACCGATTGGAGCTCCTGCTCTCTCGATACACATTTGCTAAGTGGCCAAAACTTCAACACACTTTCTTCCAGCATCCCTGCGAAAGCGTCAATGACGCAATGCCCAGGCTCGTAATCTCCAGAAACATCAAAACCAGTGATCTTCTGTTTCAAGGTGCGTAAACGCTGGTCCTTTTCTTGTGGTGGCAATTTCTTTGCAGCATCATCTGACGGTGTTTCCACTCTCTGTTTAATTGCAGCTACAGCCACTGTTAAAGCTTCGTATGCCAGCTGTTTCAAACTGGCCTGAACACACAATGATGCACCTCGCGGGCAAACAATGTCCACCAGGCCCTGAAACCTTTCCTGGTCAAGTTGGCCTGGCTGAACATTCACAGCAAAAGCCATGTGGTTGAAACATCTGATATCATTGTCATGTAAAGCAGTAATGTGATCATCTGTCAGTTGAATCTGCTTCGCTCGGTGACGGAAACTGGCATTTGACTCCGCATACCCTGCCATTGCATCTCACACGGCGGTTCAAAGGAGTAACACGCAGTAAAATGAGAAGGTTTGGAAAACACTTTCAGGAAACATAAAAGGTCTTCAAATGCATGAAAATTGCACACCTCATCAAAATCAATTTGACGAAACAAAACTGTCCATGCCAAGTTGAGCTCTCCACACATCTCAAGGTCAAATCCTTGACTGGAGCCCAATAAACAAAACGCACATTCACACGTTCCTCAGTTGACATTTCAACTGACATGTGTGTAGGTGTGACTTTTCTCAAACTGAAATAAACTCAAGACTGTTTTTCCTCATAGCGCTGGCTCATGCTTTCATACAGACCGCCTACATCAGGCTGAGGTCTGGCATCACCACATTGGTGATGACTTAAAGTTCGTGCCACATACGGCATGGCAGCTGCAAACATCCTGACTACATCATTGGTCAAGTGCCCGCACATTGGAGCTGCAACCCAGCGTATCATCACTCATGTGTGTTGCCCTGCAGCTCTTTGGATCCCATGCAATGGTCGCACAATGCAACCCCTTGGATCGGCTTGCCGGCATAGAACGTGTACCTGTCAGTCTGACGGCGCCCACACATGAGCTTCAAACTTCCAGGTGTTTTCATGTGTTGTACTCCAGACACATTGTTTCGAAAAACCAGCACGCCATCAGGCACATCTATGTAACCCGGTCGCAGCTGCGGCACAACCAAATGCCACAGGAGGCTCGACTCTGATGGCACGCTGAAAGGTTCCTCATCGCTTTCCCCTGAGCTGCTACTGGGCACATAGTCGCTGTCTGAATCATCTGACTCACCAGCGGTTACCTGTGCAGCTGGTGGTTCACGCACTTGTACAAAACGACCTGACCTGCTCTCGTCGGGTCTGAACTTGCCACTCTTGATGTCATTGAGCACGGTCTCCAATGTCCTGACAGCGGGAGCCATGGAGTCGCGAGCATAAGTCTCAGCCGATTTCGAAGATGGATCCAGATGATGACCCAACAGCCGTCTTGTCGCCAAATCAACACCATGTTTGCAGCACCATGCCAGTGGTGTGGTTTTCAAGCTGTGAGACCTCACTGCATGTTCGCTCTTTTCATCCACCTTCAAAGCCCGGTTGAGCAACAAACTGCATTCAGGTGATGTAAGCTCCTGGTCCAAGGCAGCACCACTCGGGCTGAACCTACATAAGAACGGTTTGTTGAGTTTGCCACTGGTAGTGAGCTCCAGTGCATTGCGTGCTTGGATCCAAGCTTTGAACCAATCCACTCCAGCTAAGGTGTAAATGGGTGCCACCAAAGGAAGGAAGGTCCTTCTGAGAACATCGCTCCGCGCCCCCTTGTGGCCCAACACTTGGAGCTCCAGAAAACCCTGGCCTCCCAGTGCAGCTGGATCCAAAGTTTCTAAATCACCATCCAGTATCATGTTGATAGCTCTTTGTCCATCTGAGAAGCGGCCACAAGCGTACATGAGGACCAACATTCCTCCAAATATTGCTGCGTCTCTCAAATCTTCAGTGGGTGCCACAAGTTTTTCCAACTGCATGACCTGCTGCACAGTGAGTGCTGGCGCCTGCCTGATGGGTCCTGCTCGCTTTGCAAGTTCAATGGACAGCCCGTCCACCCGTGTTGTTCCCAAGTCAGCCAAATCGCCTCGCAAGCCTAACACGCCCATGCTGAAGCGTATGGCCTCTAAAAGTGACCGCCCAGCTGACGGCGATGTTTTCTTCTGCATTCAAGGCACCCAAATAGGTGAAGACCACACTTTCTCTAACCGGGAAAAATTGATGGCCATTTCTGCAGCAGAAATTCACATATTTGTTCATGGCATAGAAACGCTTGCTCAATGTGCTCGTGGCTTTCCTCGCAAAACACGCAGCTATGCTGTGTTCAACATCTGCATGGCTGATCACCTTGCCTTCTGCCAACAACGCATCACCCAACGAAAAAGCTTCCAGATCGATGCAAACCAAGCTGGACCAATTTGAAATCATGCTGCGCCGCTTATCAAGCTCATCCTTGATTTCCACATGGCGTATCACATCAGCACACAAACTGCTCGCAGCTCTGCTCTTGGGACGACGCAATAGGTCCCATACCTCAGGTGAGCCTTGTCCTGTCACATCAATAGGTTGCTCAGGCCTCTTGAGAGAAGGCATGGGAATGCTGTCATCACAAAAAACTGTCTTCAGAAAAGGGTCAGTTTCCCAGAAAAATTTGGGCGGTTCCACAGCCAAGCTCATAGCACAACGTTGAGCCCCATACGCAGACGAAGGAACCTCCACCCCGCCATCAGATTGGCTTGCCAAGGGTTCCAACCTTTCTGTATCCAAATGATCACCTCCAAATGCAAAAGCCTGGAATTGAGAAAAAGTCTCAAAGTCATGGCCATCTACACCAGCATTCGAAAATGTCACATCATTGTCAGCTTGTTCCTTATGACCAAAAGAACTAGGCGAAAATTCAGAATGATCCATTGCCGTGGGCTGAAGTCCAGAAGGTTCTCCAGAAAATTCAGAATGATCCATTGCCGTGGGCTGCAATCCAAAAGGTTCTCCATCAACTGTGTCATCCAGTTGACAAACATAAGGATCCTTAGCCATTTCAAAGTCAACCCCCTCTACAGATTCTAAATGTCGACCATGTTGAGGTGTTGATGGCAACGGTGCCTGCCTCGATGATTCCGCTCCTTCCGACATTGGAGACCACAGAAGTAGCAGGGCTCCACGCAGAAGACCTCCAGCTGAGGAGGCTGATGGCCACCTGGAGGAACGAAGCCAAAACGTTTGACCAGTTCAATAACAACTGCCAGTAAAATTTGTAGTAACTCCGTCAAGGTCCGGAGGTGCAATTGGTCCATCAAAGTGTAACAAATAGGCAAATGTGGCCACACAACCTGCCAGAAATCCAAGAAGAAAATGACAAAGCGGCTGAATGCGCAAACCAGTCTGTGAAATCCCAGCTGGCAACAAAATGTAAGTACGAAACGCCACTTGTCCCTTGGAGATGGCACTAGGATGTCTCATGGCAGCACAAACGCCCCCGGACACACTTGAGCCCAAAATGGCATTACGACTATAAAATTCAAGTGTGTTACCCAGTCAAATTGTTTGTATACTTGTAAGTTGTTTCCAGATTAAATTTGACCACTTGCAAAACATCCAGCAAGAATGGTAAACAACTCGCACAAGACACAAACAAAATAAAAACGTTTTGGTTTGATTTGCAAACAAACAGGGCAACAAGAACCCACGCGTTGCATGTCCAAACATAATCAAAGTCCTTGATCTCCTTAATACAACGCAAGGGACGCGTGGCGCGAACAGAGGAGAGGCGAGTAGTTCACAAGGAGCGAGACAACAGAGAGGCAAGCAAAGAGTGAAGTGTAGCAGCTACATCTAGCAGCTACACATACAACAGTCTGTTTCCAGATAATGCATTATCTGCTAAAGCAGAACATTGCGTAAATTGAATTGGCTGCATCAACTCTGGTTTGTTCATCAGCACTTAAGTGTGGTAGCCCGTGGGGAAACTCTGAGGATCTCAACGGTCTTGGCTGCTTTGAGCCCCCAAGGTGGATTTCTCGAGCTCGGCTACATGTTCCGCATGGCGGCGCTGCATGAACAAAACACACATCGAAGTTTCTGACGACATAATGAAGAAACTCCCATGAAGACTTCAGGGTTAAATCCAAGTTGCAAATATGTGCCAAAGGGTGAAAACGATTGTGGGTGTGATCAACTGCCATGACATCGAAACCAACTTCTTGGAAGCACCGGCTAAGCATGGCTGTTCCTGCACAAATTTCAATGACCAATGGCTTCGACATCGATCGAGGTTCTGGTGTTGGCTGAGCGACAGGCTTAACCTCTGGCCGCTCAGTGCACTGCTCTGCAACTTCTGTTTTAGGAGTCGCGCAAAACTTGTCATTGAATTCGGCATCATCTGCAATGCTTGTAACTTCAAGTCAGGAGGTCGTTTTACGCATTGGGCAGTTCTGATACGTGTGATCTTGCTTGAAACACCCACGGAAACAACAAATATGTAATCCCTTGCGACAACGTCCACTTTTGACTGGCAAATTGCACTTATTCAAATTGTGGTCAAAGCAAATTGCATTTCCACTGCGTGTCCCAGGAACACCATTTTCCAACCCTTGAGGCATCTTGATGGTGAGAGAACCTTGAGTTTTCCCTGCTTTTCCCTTGCCTTTCGAGGGTCGCGTGTAAGGCCCCGGTCGAGTTGGCGCAGTGCTAGCTGCTGCATTCTGGTTGGATCCACTGGTGCTTGAAGAACCCTTTGCAGTGGGCATTGGCTGAAGCAAATGAAGTACATCTGGATGGTTGACCGCTTGTTCAAAAACTAGGTCAACTGGTCGGCCTCTGGCTGTGATTTGAATCCCACTCCGTGTCAATTCAGCTAACTTCAGGAAAAGCTTTCTGTCAGCATTCACTATTTGCTGGAGAGTTACACGTTGATACCCATCCGGCGGACTTTCCATTCTAATATCCAGGATTTTTTCAACCCATGCATCATGCTTGGCATAATCAAGGACATTGCACTGATCCAAAGCTAGCCCACGCCTCATCAAGCACAACCTGAGGAGCATGTCATTGGACAGGTCGGCCTCCAGTTTCATTTCCTTGTCCTTGATTTTCACAGATCCAGTTCCATCGACTGTGATATGACGATCTTCCCTTTGAGAAACGTTAAGGATCTCCTGTTCTTTGCTGGTGCACTTGCTAAGCTCTATATCGTGCAGTCTGTTCTCGTCATAGAGGTTCTGACATCTGTCCACCAACCTGTCAGAAGGCTCAAGTTTTCCTGTGATTTTGAGACCAATCAATCGTTTCTGTTGTCTCTCCAAACGGTCCGCCCTCTCAGGTTGGGCCAGCTTTCTAACAGGCGCATCTTCGACGCGTTCCGCATGAGCCTTCAGTTCAGAAGCAGTCAAGGCATAACACTCATGAAACAATCTTCTCAGGCTGGCCAGTTCACCGACTGTCGGTGCCCTACCCAACGCTTCTTGTATTGCATTTGTGAACGGTGTCTCATCTTGCATGCCTGGCACATAACTGGATGAGAAAGCATATTTCGCTATGGTATTGATGCCACTTGCAACAAGCTGGGTGACCACGTCCTCTTCGAGTCCAAGTGCTGCACATCTTGACCTGAAGTTTGGCTCACTGTCTGTCAGGGACATGGCGGCACTATTGGAGTCGTAAACTGTTTTATACTATGTGGGGTCAAAACCTTCCCATAGTTAAATGAAATGAGGAGTGTTCACCTGTCATTGTGCTACCTAGTAACATTGATCTTGACACCACTTTCCAAATTATTGAACTGGACTTCAACATGCCGATCACATGATGGGATGCAAGTCCGTACACTAGAACACGGGCCCTTCAGCCCAAGCTGGAGCACAGTTTCTCAGCGGCACAACACCACTGTCACATGGTCCATGGACCCATGGGTTCCAAATGAACCCCAAATCATGCCCAAATGACATGAACATACGCACATGAAAGGAAATTTGAGAAACTCTCCAGGACTCAGTGGTTTCGTCAAGTCTCACACTCATTGCATGACTCAAAAAAAAAACTTCCATCATGAAAAATAAACAGATTTCAACGTTTCTGTTTGTCATGCTTTCACACTCAAAAGGCGGTACAATTTTCCGGCGTTTACTGTTGTTTGAAACAAATGCTGCATTGAGGCGAGAAGAACCTTGGTCTGCATTGGACTCGGTTGTAACTGGCTGAGATCTCACGACCACACCTGAAATGCATTTCACTCTCATCCGCGCAAACATGATAGTACCTTGTGTTTCGATTTTGGAACAAAGTGGGCTCTGTCTCGAGTTGCAAGCCCTCGACAGTCGAGTGTTCATTCCACTCTCCAACAACATCGTCTGTGGCTCGCTCAAGGTCTCGTTGCTGCTCTTCACTAGGCTCTTCATCTGCAGAGTCTTCTGTGTCAGAAGCTGAATCGTCTTCCTCTCCAACGTCCACAGTCTCAGGTTCCGCTGTGCCCACTGGCACATTAAAATAACCAGATCTCGTGCTGTCAGCATCAAACCTCAATTCACGAATCCATCCAATGACCTTGTCAAGCTCCCTAAGAGGGCCTGATGCTGCATCTCTGCTGTAGACCAAACAAGTCTTTGTTGATGGATCCACATGGTAACCCAGGAGTCTACGACTGGCAATGTCAATTCCAGCCTTCGACATCCAACTGAGGCAAGTAGCCTTGCAGCTATGTGTGCCAATGTCCTTGACTTGGTTGTGGTCAAAGCCCAGGGCCACAAGTATCTTCCTGAGCCAGTCACCACCCATGGAAGCAGTCATGGGAACTCTAAGCCATCCGTTGCCAGCGGGCTGAGGGAGCAATGGAAGCTCTTCGCCTCTTGGCACGGAACTCAACATTCGCGCCTGCTGCCATTGCTTGAACCAGTCCTTCCCCCCGACCCCAATCAGTGGAGCGGCCATCGGCAGGAACATCGTCTTGCGCTCTGTAGTGTAGGCACTCTTGCTCCTTGTAACCTTTGCCTCAATGTACCCAGCGGTGTTGCCTTCATTGACAACCTCGTCAACCACAATGTCAGTCATGTGCTGCATGTCACTAAACCTTGCTCGCATATAAATACACAGCAAGAAGCATCCCGCAGCATAGACATCACGTGGTGTGCCCATCATACTGCTGACATATTGCTCAAGCGCCTTCACCTGAGCGACACTCAAGGGCGGTCTCTGCTGCAACTTCCTCTTCATCAAGTAGGATTCACGGGCACAACCTTGAACTCGCTGACTTGCAATGGCATCATCTGAACCCGTCAAACCCAAGATGAAATTGCAAAAAGTCAAAGACACAAGAAACGACCGCAAAAACGTAGGTGCTGCACTGTTGCCAACTTCAACCATGAAATTATACACATTGCGTTCAAACACAGGAAATGGAATGACAGCATTGTTGTTGCACCACTGGATGTATCTCAAAATGGGTCCAGCTCTGTTATGAAGTGTCCCAGTAGCTTTGCCAGAAAAGACGTGTTTCAAACCTGCTGCAATTGACCCTCCAAGTGGTGCTCCTTTCTCCAGTCTGCGGCCCAAGTCAAAAGCAACAGCAGCTGTAAGTATGATGCGTACCCACTTGCGGATGGCTGCAATTCTCTGAGAATTCAATTGCTGCTCCCAACTGAGCTCACCTGAGCTTCGCTTCTGCCTAAATTTTATTAGACCTGCAACTGGACCAACATCTTCATCCACCTGTTCTGCCACCGGAGTGTCAACAAGCAAAATGCCTGATGGCATTGTTGGACTCCTGAATGCTGCAACCTGTGGCATTGGAGGGTTTGTTTCGTAAATAGGCCTGTAAATCGATCCCCAAACTCTGGATCTGCAAAACGCAACATGTGCAGCTATAGCATCATCTGTTGGGGTGCCCATTCCAGAACTCTCACTCCCCACTTCCAAACAAAAGCCAAAGGAAACAGGCAACCCAACCCAATGTAAATGCAATCACCAGAAAACAGAATTGCGTCCCAGTGAAACCATGGCAAATGACAGGACCACCAACGATGTCCTGAAGGACAATGCGCCCCCGGCGTCGAGGGGAGCCCATGAACTTCTAAAAGTTCTTGATATTGGGGAATGTGCCCCTTTGTATTCCCCATCCACACCTTGAATTCAAAATAGCAACCAGATATAAATAGATCCCAAGACCGTTACTTCACCAAAGACATGTCAGTTGATTTCATCAACGTTTCATCCAACTGATGTTGTTCATTGTGTTCACTTAACCAAAGACATGTCATTTGACCACAGTACTGTTTTACCCATTTGGTATTCTTTGTCAGATTTTATTTGGTTTGGGTTTGGTAAACAGTGTTTTTTTTCGTTTGGCGCTCCATACATTACGCTACTCTACCCCAAAAGGAAATGGTGCTACGCACAATAAATCAAATCAACAGAAAAGGCCGACCCGTGCAACGAACAAAAAAATGGCAACTGCGTTTAGTTAAGCAACA